AGCAGCATCAGCAGCAGAAATAAAATCACCGCAATAGAAGAGAATAATAAATTCTCCGGCTTGTACGCAAGCCTTTGGAGCACCACCATAACTAAAAAGGCACCATCATCCAGCTGTGGGCCATGCCTCTGAAAAAACTCCCCAAAGAGTACCTAAAAGTAGTAAAAACTAATAAAAAACCCACAATAATAAAAAAACCTGCAAAATGCAGCAGATGTACGAGTACATCCCATACACCCAGATGCAGAAACCCTCAGTGTGCACCACAGTAACCTGTGAGGCCACGATTCCCCGCACCCTTTCGGGAGGCCTGGCATGCCTGGCAGCTGCTCCCAAACGCTTCCTACTTGCCCGCACGGCGCACACAGCGACACGGAGAGCAACGTGCATTCTCCCCACTAAAATACAGCACATCTACAGCGTTTAGTAACCGCACCGTGACCAAGGAGAGCAGAGGACGTATTTTATTTTCACCTTTTCATTTGCAATAGTACAATAAAATAGTAAACTGAAAAAAACCCCATCCAGCCTCATGTTTAACGGCATCAGTCAAGTCCTCCACTCCAAAGCATGAGCAACCGTTAAAAGACAAAAAAAGCGGGTCGACAACAACAACTCCGGGTTGACAGCAGCATTACTTTCACAAGGATTTGCTCAGAGGATGCCACTACAAGCGGCGTACGTTACGCTGTTCCCAGAGAGCAAGCCGTCCTGCGGCAACCCGAACCTCGGGTTCGTCTCGCACCAGCCCACAGGCACTGGGGGAGAAAGCGGGGGCAAGGAAGTGCGTAATTCCATTTCCATTTTCGTAAAAGACAAACTTTGCAGTAAAACGTGTTGCCCGGATGGCAACTGCGAGGCATGTGAGCACAGCCAGAGCAATGCAGCAGCTGGAGGAAGACAATGGGGTAAGTGCAATTAAGGCAAAAGGTTCCTCTTTTGACACGATGGGGGCAGATGGCTGGGCTGAGGAAATGATTCAATAGCAAAACAGGTATCACAGTATACCTGGACTACAGAATCAGTGAGAATACAGCTTAAGCTTGATTGAGATCTCTGTTCACCTTCACAAATTCTGAAGAATATTTAAAATCTCCTCTTCCTTCCCCTTCCTCCCACAACTGTAGTCTGCTGCACTTTTCAAAAGCACAGAAGTTCGCTTTTACTGAAATTTAAGGCTATTATGAAAAAATAGCGTAGGGCTCCTCTTTCAAAACTAAGTATAAAAGTCAATCCACTCTAGAAGGTCTTAAATAACTCTAATACAACCATCTATTTTCCAAAACAATCAACTCATTTTTATATTTGGAAGCCAAGAAATTTTATACTGCTAAAGTTTGTCTTCATACACTTACACTTTTGTCCTAGAAGCCAAACACTCCAATACCAGGAGTTACCACTGTAAAGTAACTGCAGCTCAGGACAGCCACCCTTTGCTGAACTCAGATGTGCTGGTGGGAGAGGTTCATCATCGCTCTCTTTGCCTCAGAGTACCAGATTATCGAAAGATTTACTATGGAACACTCTCACATCCACCCACCAGGCACCGAGACTGGCCGAGGACGTATCGCACAAGCACATCTCAAGGAGCAGTGGTGTCTGGGAAGGAGTGCTGTGAAGTGGCTGAAGTCAACTGCCTTTTCCACTTGATTGAAAGATCCAAAAGACAATGTCTGCCTATAGCCTTAGTGTTCTTGCCTGAGAGAAAAAGATGAAGAAGCAGCAGAAATGGACCGGTCCTAGCCATGACCACAGCTCCCAGTTCTCTTCATGAGCACCAGAGAATACTTTGCTTATTATACATGCACCTGTGAAAGTTCAATGTATTAGAGGACTTACATTTGAGAGGGCGAGGATCCTTTCCATCACAGGAAAGTGGGTAATTTTGCATCCCCTGAATTAAGCAAATGTTGCTGGTGGTTTAAGTGTCAGCTGAATCTGGTCCAGAAGCAGCATCAAGCTACGTAGGGCTTCATAAAAATGGCTACAACCAACTCTTCTTCCTCCTAACCTTAAAGTGCTGGGGCAATGCAGCATGACCAGACTAGTAGCCTAGGAAAAAATACCCAAAGTCCTACCAAGCATACTGTTTCCTAACTTATGACAGACAAGCTTCCTAGGAGTTTAGACCTTAAAATCCTCCACAGATGCTGAGAAGCATCTCACATATGGAAAGCATACAACCTTTAAGAAACTGGTTAACAGTAAAAAACATGGCAACTCCAATCTTGGTAATGGCCAAAAGGCATTTTTAGAATAAAAGTGACTCCTTCTAATGCAGGGCTATTGCTTCATTTGTCCAATGGCATTTTTTACTAAAGAAATGCTCCTCCAATTAAAAACATAGTATTTTAATAGTAATACTTTAGGTATTATTTAAGGTTTATAATTTATTAGAAGTTAATGGTTTTTTACACATTTCCTATTTTTACCTTGAAAGAACAGCTAATCTCAAAACAGTCACATATGGATAACGACTCACTATCTAAGGGCCGTTTCTAAACATCCTCACCTTCATTTGCGATGAAGGAGCTTTTCTTCTCCCCACGGAAACAGGCTCCTTACCAGTCACTACTTCACCAGCCACTGCATATACAACTGACCTACTGACCAGAAGCATCAGTGAAAAAGCAGCTCCCGCTATACGTACATAAGCTACAGGCTCTGACCAACAACTGGAAAGTTGGCTGCACCTGCTGACAGTTACTATCTCCTGCAAAAGCTTATTTTTCACTTAACAGAGACGGCTAAGCATGACACACATTGGACTGCAAGAATCAGTCATAACCCTCAGTCACATGGCATTGCTAAAATAAACTTGTGTCACTTTGTAACATGCTATAAAAATTCACTGATTACCTTAATAGACTAGAAATAACCACTAATTTTCCATTAATTATAGCATCATGAAATCAGTGAAATCAGAAAAAAAGTACAAAAAAATCTTTCAAAATAGCTCCTTAACCTTGCTTGAGCTGAACCCTTGGTATATGAGCAGCATGAGTAATCTCATTTCATTTCCCATCATAACTCAAGACAGAACACAAACAATAAAAATAAGAATAATCTATAAAAAACACAGTACATCAGAAATCTATGTAAAAAAACATGTCTGTGTCACAGGATCAGACATCATCAAGGAGCTCAGTAACAACTTAAAGCACCACTCAAAATTAAGTACCATACGTGTTACAGTACATGCCATTTATTATGACAATTTAAGGCTAAAATAGGTACGACTCCCTTGTAGTCAAGCTTACTTCTATTTATAAATGCATACAAACATTAAGTGGATACAAACATGTAGGGATTTTTTTTATTGCTCTAAATTGTCTACAAGAATGTTCGACTTTCCCAGATGTCATCTCAGTTTGCCTTTTTCAATCAAGCTGAAGTCCTACAATTGCAACTTACGGCACTCGTACAATTATAGACATTCTTTGATTTGAGCTGTAAATGAATTCGAAGACGTATCAGACAAAATTGCCCACCACTGCAAACTTTGTAACTTAGTTAACTAAGCATTTGTCCGTAAGATACATAATAATTCACCACAAAGATTATTTCTGCAATTCTTCAGGAAGGATATTATTTTCAAAATAATAGGTCTAACCAAGCGGCAAAGACAACCAGCAAGAAATGATTTACTAGTACCAGTCTAACAGACTGGGCTTAAAAAAAAAAAAAAAAGCTGAATACCTGCTCCAAAACAAAGAGCAAACTTTTCTTCTTGCTCATAGAGCAATTATGTTTCCTAATAAGATAGGGCAGTGCCTCATTCTGATAGTGCCAAATTCTTTGACTGTAGCTTGTCCATTTCTTGACCAATATTTCCTTCAATGGTATCACACTGGGCAAGAAAAACCTGAGAATAAGAAACAAATGTTATTGGGGATGCAATTATAGCAATGCTGGATGCTTCTTAAGAACAGAAACTACAGGTTCCATCATGAATTTGAAAAAGCCAACTCAAAAACCACCTTCCAGTTCAGTTTTGATAATAGCTATTCACAATTCTGTTTACCCAGAACCCCAAAATAAACATGATATTTGATAAGGCAACAACATGGTTGCCCATCCTCACCTGTTCTGTCACTGAAGTACTTTGAGTTGATCCAAAGTTCATAAACAACAATAAGGATCACAAAGGTTCAGATGAGTTAGTGCTTCAGTTTAGAACATGACTTTTAAACTCCTTTCTAACACACATACTTCTGTAGCCAAGGTTAGAACTGACAAACCTACTCAGTAAAATGTAAAACAAGCTTTCATTAAACCAAGGCAGCTTCTATTTCTCAGGACTACAGGGCAACGTGAACCCTCATCTTTATCAGTAAGCAGCTGGTGTGCCTCGAAAGACAGAAATCTGCTTTCCAAAAAGGGCAGTCCACAGCACCTTACGCGTTCTTAGAACCTGCCTATGAGTTCTTACAAGTATAGCAACCCACACACAGCAATTAAAAGCCAGCAGCCACTAGTCACTTTCCTTGTGCTGTACACAGCACAATGCACCAGCACTTTAAGCCAATAAATTCTTTTAGGCCAATTCCAATGTATTTTAGTACACTGTAGTTTCTGTGCAGACTCTCCTACTATCTACACCTGCCTTACACTCAGTTTTGCTATGTCTGCACTAGACTTTAACAATCAAACCAGATGTTTAATGTTATTTGCATTAAAATGACAATAAGAAACTTCCTTCCCTCTAGAGCAGCAAACTGTTGTGCCAGGTAAATGTTTCTCAACCATCACACTATTTTGAGTTATCTGTCTTCAAGCAATCCCTTGAGCCGGCATCGACTCACTTCAGTAAGGACTTCAAGGATGAAAAAGTCAAGGTGGAAACAACTGCAGTTGCTGGCTGCATGTGTTTTAGATCTGTCTCCCCATTCTGGACGATACGTGATTTCCAGCAACAGAAGGCAGTTAATAGCTCTCCCTCGCTTTCATGAATACTTAAGAGTAATAAGCATGACTTGCTATCGCTTTCTTGCTCTGGAAAAACAGTGTGTAAGACTGCTCTGGTCTGAAACCCGTTAGATTCTTCTGCAGTCCTCAAAGGGTTCATAACCTACAGTTGCAGAACACTGTGCCTATCAGTAATTCTGATCTCTGCTCCACCATAGTCTGCTTTATGCTTTGGCAGCAGTTCTTACACAAAGTCCCACTTATTTCTGCAGTAACTTCAGCCAAGAGTGGAGCTCTAGTAGCTTGCCATGAAGGTTACAGCCATGTTAGGCACATGGAATCAAGAGCATTTTCAAAGACCCATATAACACAGCTACACCAGCAGCCATCCTTCATTTCATTTTGCATTATCTGAACTTACCTCTGTAACAGAGTACAAACGGCTTTGTCCCTAAAGCTGTAACTAAAAACATTTCTACTATGAAGTACTTCTTGGTAAGGCTTCCTCTAAAATAGATGGCTATTTTAAAAAAATTGGGAAGCACTTACAGAAAGTATTTGATAAGGTTACAGTAAAGGCAAAACCTTTCAATTCCATATATGAATGTAAGGTACTTTCACAAATAATTTTCAGGAGCCTAACCTGTGACTGAAGCTAGCATAATACAAATAAAAGCAGTAACAGGAATAGCGGTACTATTCATTTATGGAAGTTTGGCTTTTGGGGATGGAGGGAGGAAGGACAAATTCCAGTATTTAGTAATAAACCTTCACTTCAAGGTCTCTAAGGAAACAATGCCTAGGAATTTTTAAGCATCATACAGTGGCAAAGCAATTAAAAAATGCATCCCCCAGCACAGCTGCTGTCCCATACAAATTTTACTTTAGTGACTCTTCACAGAAAGTTGATACACTGCAATAGAAGCTAAATTTTCCAAAGAACACCTCTAGCAAGGTCCAGCAGGAGTCACAGTTGACTGCATCTTTAGGCCCAGACCTCATTGATTACTCCAGCCCACTGACCTAAGGGAAAGGAGGAATCATCCTGTTTTCTTTACAAGTTATCAGAATTACTTTACATCATCAGGTAGCCATAAAGCCAACTACTAATGTAAGTTACAAACATTATCTGAAAACAGCACGAACGATGAAAATCTGTATTTTTGTAAGCTGTTTTATACAGCTATTAAATACCTCTCAAGGTGAAGTCATAAGAAATACCAATGTAAGAACAAACACTGAAAAAATGTAAGCTCTAAACAGCTCTCATTTTCACAAACTCTTGGTATACAAGTACCCAGCATTGATAGAAAACAAACAAACAAAAATACTCACCTGAACCCTTTTCACCAACCCCTTCTTTTTCAGCTTGCAATCACTGAAATTCTCTGGCAGATTCTGCAGTAAAATAAACAAACAAGTCGATGCAGCTTAATGTTGAAATTAACATATTAAACTTATAGCAAAAACTGAATGTATCAAAGAATCCTCTTCACGTGCATCCTGAAAATGCCATACCTGCTCAGTAAGAATGACTATACAAGAAAGAATTTAGAAGTCATAAATTCAGTAAGTCCAGGATACAGCATGCTATTACAATGAACTGAGCTCGCAAATTTTCCATGTGTCTTTAGCAACATACAGCAATAACTGCATACACTGTTTTTGTCTACTGTGACATACATTAACTGTTCTGCTGAGCTTCAACTTCAGTTCTTTTCAGAGACTGTGACATGAATTACTTTCTTATGAACACATTAATACAACCACTTGCCATCATTTGAACATATAATCAGTAATGCAGGCATCGCCAGTCTGTTTAAGCTGTACATCTGACCTTCTCTGCAATCTACTCATGGAAGGTATAAGAGATATGAAGTGTTACATGCTGACAGCTTTTAATTTGAGTTACATCGTTTTCCACACTCCTACCATCTGATATTTCCATGTATGACACTTTAGAAAATGTTACACGCTTTGTCCTTTTGGAGTAGTGTGAAATTGGTGTGTTGGTGTGGAACTGTCCTTAGGTTTATGATTTTTTTTTGAAACAGGTAAAACAGATGATTATCATCATACCAAATTTATGTGAACATTCTTAGAAACCTTATGCTCTCACTCTTGAAAAGGCATAAAAATAATGGATTTTCTCACTGGTGTACCTTTTATTTTTCACCCTAACTCTGTATCAAGAATAGCAGTTTCCCTATAGTACCCTATGTTTCATTTCAGCTAAAACGCAAGCCCCACTGGGAGGTTTAGATACATAGATCAATAAAAAAACCAACAATGCTCTTTTCTTTCCGTGTCCAAACGTACATGGTCTTTAATACAGGAGTCTTGCACATAACCTCATATAGGAGTTAAAAATACACAAGACTCCACACCAAAAAAAAACAGTCTATCATGGGAAGTGAAACTATAGGCATCCTTGAGATCCCAGGAAGTTCAGGGATCACACTGCTCCAGTATTTGTGCAGTAATTAGCACACTGTAAGTGATATCAAACAAAGAAGTAATAATCCCCAGGCTTAGCACGCGTTCCCAGTACCATGGGTGAGGAGAAAATGGGCATGCAAGAGAGTGAGCTGGGACACATTCTTATATTTTACTTCTATATAAACTTCTGGTTTAAAATCCCCCTCTCTCTTTCTATGCTCAGCCTGAAGGAATGCACAATGCTGCTTCTTGTCTCCTAGGAAAGTATGAAAGTTCAAAGTGGGCGTAAGTACTACTACACCAACCTCTTCCCAGGTCAGTTTTTTTGGTTTATTTTGTTAATTTGCTTTTGGAAGATGGGTAAGAGAAAGAATCTTCCACTTCTGTAGTTCCAGCTTCCATTTCTGTTGCTCCAGTACCAGTTTTCCCAAACAGCAGCATTGTTATGTTGGCTAAAACTCGTATCAACTTTTAACACTTTTCTTCAAGATCAGAAAAAGTATCTCCCTTGCAGAGAGCTTTTATGTCAGACTGCACCTCCTGAAACAGAACCAGAAACTGGACATATTTCTTTCAGGTGGAAAAATTACCATCTGTATTAGAGGCACAAGAGAGTATGCAGATTAAGGGAGATACCCTTCCAAAAGCAAGTTGGTGCAGTGTTATCTTACAAGCCAGGACAGAAATAACTAAACCCTAAAAGTTATGGGTTTTTTGCTGTTTTTCAATTTATTTCAATCCTCTTAATACCAAAACCACTCCGCAGTTTGTCCTAAGACGCATTCCATCACCCATCTATCCTTTCCAACTCCTCTTATTTTGTGAGAAAGAGGAGAAGTAACTTTGAAATTAAGTTACCAGCTTAACTCCAGGAATCTGTCAGGCACAATGTAAATCCTCCTACAGGAGCCTGTTCTATGCTGGTCACTTTCTTCACTTATGTAATGATGCCTTACGTCCTTGGTTTCACAGCACAGGATAAGTTCAGAAGCTGTTTTACATTTACAACAACAGTCTGCCTAAAATGAAAACTCCTTTTAACAAGTGGCACATGTCCATTTTCCAAAGCACAGCTTTTTTTCAGTTGTTCCTTTTGGAAGCTACTTTGCCCTTTACAAAGCGTATTTTCTAGTACTGTGTACTGCAGTATGTCCTTGCTCACTGTAGCATGCTAAACCCACATGCCTCCTCCCAGTAAGCTGGACACTGGTTTACATGCTTTTCTTTCAGAAACTGAATGCTCCAATGACACTACAAAACAATTGAGAATTTAGTTCAAAGCTGTCCGTGAATTCTCTTCAAACACCAGTTCTAGTTCACAAATTTATAGGTGTCACAGGGGAAAAAAAAGTTTTAAAAACATTATAAAATTGTATGAAGTATTCTAAGGGATCTTAGACATAGGACTCTTTAACCACATGAGAAAATATTCGTATTTTTCTCTTGGTTTTCAACAACACAATTCACTTTTTAAAATGAACAAAATATGACAAGAAACATTTAACATAAAGAAAGTATTTGATGTGTACTATTTTGACTCCATATATGTAACAGCCTGAAAAAAACAAAGATCAGTTAGGCCTAATTATTAATGGTTGATTTCCATAGGAAAATGAAAATGTTACCTCACTGTCACAGAAATTCTTCTATGCCTTGAAGTTTTCTATGACTTGGAACTTCTTAATAATCAAATTAAAAAAGAAATTATACACTAGCTCAGTTACACTGCCCATCTGCCTTTGTTGAGTACTTATTTCAGGCTGTACTTTCTGAAAGAGATTCTGGCCTATACAAGTATTCCTACCAACCTGAAACAGCAAATTAACAAACAATTTTCTATCATCAGAACAGGCCTAAGTTAACATTCAATAGCAGACAGGGAACTCCATCTGGGCTTACCACACAAAGTCCGTTTCTAAAACAGATATTGGTAACTGGAAGAAACTCTGAAATCTGAGTGTAGAGAACACATTCGGACTATTTCTTTTTTTGCCAACATTTTTCAAAACTGTTCTTTTTAATTACATCTGTGCATGCAAACTCCTATGTTTGCTTGCACACCCTCATAGCTGGGTGGTTTGTTTTGGTTTTGTGTTTTGCTTTTTTTTAAAATCACGCCTTGTAATCCCCTTGGCAAAGACATGTAATTGGAAGGACTAAATGTACTAACTTAATAAGCTCCTTAAAAGGTGTTTTGCAATCAAATTAGTAAAGTTTACAAATCTTAACATCAAATTAAATCTCATAGTCTCTCTGTTTTACCTTAGTCAGCTTACGTCTCCTCTCCAGGAATACGCTGTCCAACTATTCAGGGTTTAACAGGTGAAGCTGGCAATAAACCTTAAGTCACAATAACATTTCAATATTTAATTAAGATCAAATTTAATTAAAGAAGGAGTAGTTTAAGCCTAGGCAGTGCTTATGCAAAACTCTTGCCAAATCTACATTTTGGTGCTAGCATTGCTTGCAGACCAGTAGTTTGGATTAGTATGTGGTTTTCTACTGCACAGCATATTCTTACTTTTATAGCAGGTGGTCTCTTTGCATTGCACTTTCTCTGTGACAAAACCCTACTCAAGTCTCACAGTCCTTGACCTGTATTGTCTTAAACTTACAAAAGCGATTGCAGTGCTGGCTTCACCCAGCAACTTCTGTAGGGTGGGCACAGGTTCTTTTTCCTCCCCCCATCCACCCAGAAACAGAGCCCAAGTCCCCCTATCACCAGTGGCTCTCTCCCATCCACACCCCCAAATTCAGGGTTGCTTAACCACATCTCTTCAAGAGTTCTCGCCCTGAAGATATGCTGACAAGATGCACTGCAGACACACACACGTTACATCCTCCAAGACCCATCTTTTGTAGGCACAACACTCATGTGTTATGAGAAGAAAACCTTAAAACCAATCACTGTTTACACAGTAATAAATTCATGCATGTGCCTTTTTCTGCCTCTAGACCCTCTCTATTCTTGAGTGTTTGTTCAACTACAAACCAGCATCCCTCTCTCCTGAGCACTGCTACTTAACGAAATACAGACTCTCCTGTCATTTCTTTCACCGCTGATGTCCCAATAAAACCACCTCCCTTTGCCACAGAACATCACCTTCAGCACTGCTCAAGTTCCATTTGTTTTGGAAGTGCTTTCAATAGCGACTTTTAAGCTTCGTGTTACCACCTTTGTTCTCCTCTTCAGTTATTTCCTATTTCCCAACCAATAGACCTCAGTAGGTAACATCTGATTCCTGAATCCACCTGAGAGCAGTGTAGTGAGTTAATAAACAAAACAAATGCTAGTCAAATTTATTATTTCTCACTACCTTATCATAACCAAAGGTACACCATTCTTAAAATAGTCAATCTCCTCCACTAGGAGTCACTAGCAAAAATAGCTAAGAACATTTTTGGTTCGTTATCAAATCACTTAAAAAAAACCAATCACTCTGCTACACATGGCACCAATGCTAATCAGTTGCAAACAAGGAAGTTTTGCTGGCACCCCATCCATCTAACAAAGAAGCTTTTTTGTTAGTTTCTGTTAAAATCCAAAATAACTTCTAGTATTTTAGTGCATAGTTTTTATTGATTACCAGCTCTTCACTTTGTTTTAACTTATTGGTAAATAAATTGGTAAACCGGGTAACCACATTATGTTGACACTGAATCTTTTTCATCTAAGTAGACATCTGAGCAGCTTCTTTAAAAGCAGCTATTAAGTGGCAGCATTTGTCAATGGGTCTTCTGAATGCAGAAGTGGTAACTAAGTGCTCTACCCTCACTGAGGGATGACAGTATTTTTGTGTTCCTTGTGCTTTAGAAAAATTTTCCTCTGAAGCTTTGTTTTTATGTTTATGATTCATGCCAGGACATTTAGGAATTGTAATATGAAATGCTTATCAAATGTTTACTTATCCAGATAAATTCAAAGGTTTAGTAATAAGTTCTGATCTTATTGTAAGTGGCAAAACTTCACAAAAGCCTGGGAAATGTTTGTTACAGGCACATTGATTTTTTTTTTCTAAATACTTCTTTCTTTCAGTCCTCGAAATGTTAATTTGGTATTAATTTACCAGATGACAAGTATAGAAGGGACAAGGAGACATGATAAGGAGACAGTGAAAAAGCTTCATCAGAAGAGTACAGTAATTTAAGTAAGTTTTACAGCAGAATTATAACAAAAAAAATCCTCAAGAAAGGAGGATGGGCCACCAGAACATAATTAAGAGTCAGTAATGTTATCAATATCCTCAATACTGATCTATGCAATTTGACAGATGTCTTTGTCATTAATTTATGTAAACAAAATCAGTGACTGTATTTCAGAAGAGAAAGCTTTTTTTTCCAGTTGTTAGAACAATCTGTTCTCTGCAATACTGTCTTTTTAGATTACAAATCTGCCATTTAATAAGAGAACAAAGTCATCTCTCAGATTGCAATACTGGTGACAGACTTCATGTAAATTAGAGGAGGCTCACAAGAAGTACATAGTATCATGCCTGTCAATTTAAATCTTCCTGCTAATCTCAGAAAAGCCATCTTTTTTTTTTTTTCCCCCTGAAAAAGCCATTCAGTTATTTTAAAAAACTGTGCCAGCTGATCAAGTCAAGGACTTCCTGTGTTATACTCGCTGACATTTGTATTAAGCAGTGTACTTTGACTTCTACTCCTGGACCAAATGTTTTAACTGCTGAAATAAATGGCATTTCTGGTGATACACACACAAATCAAACTGTTGAAGATGACTCAACTTGCATTCCTCCTGAAGAAAACGTCAAAGATCTGTGGCTTATGGGAACTTCTGACTGTGTCACAGCATTCAAATTTGTAAGACGCTCATAAGATCCCTCCACTCCTCCTATGGTAGAAGCAGTAGCTATTTAAACACATTTAATGTTAAAAAGTTTAAGTTACAGCTACTCTACCCAAAAGCATCTCTTCAAGACTTTCCTTTCACACCTCTGGCAGTGACAACACTGTATTTTCTTTCCCACTCCAGTATTCTATGACTACCAACCTACTTCTCCACTTCCCAAATCACTTCTTTTAAATTCATAGTTGTTGGACACATGGAGTCTAGTAAAAAGGAGTATTAGTTCCAAACTCAGCTCCTCTAATGAACTTGTCTTCTAACAGTAAGAGGGTGACACCCCTAGAAGAGACAGAAAACAATATGCAGGCTCCTCAGCTCTCTATAACCATACAAATCTCATTTTGTATCATGCTAGAGGTTTTTAATTGATCCAAACAATGTATGACAGACAAAACACTTTACAGAGCTTTCACAACAGTTCCACCAAGGAAACAAACTGGAACATTTATAGTGTGAGCTTGCTGGTATGTTTCACTTCTACAATGCATCGATTCTTCTGTCTTAGCAGAAACCACTCACTCAGTTGATTGAATCAATAGCACATCTATATGATCAACAGCATTCAAGAGATTTGTCAGAACTTGCTTTTTACTTGGTTAACTAAAAGAATACTAAATACAGTATGCAACAATTCTGAGACACAGATAAAATACTTTCTGGAAGCTTTATGCTTTTCTGCTTTGCATTTCTACTCACCATTTTTTACTTCAGTGGAACCCATCTATTATTCATATACATACCTCATTACCATTATGTGTTGCTACCTCTGTATGTTGCACAACTACAGTACAGCTAGGTAATACCTCATGAAGTTGGTGGCCTGTTCATCTGATCTGGTGTAATACTAGTACACTGAACAGCTACATTTTATGTAAAGATTCCCCGCAACTACATGTATCTCATCTGCAAGATTTCACAGAAGTTTCACATAAGTTTAGTTTTCATGACACAAACCACAGCCTTCCTTGTATATTAAAACAAATAAATATGGATTTTGGTATGTGTAACATAATTTCAATCACTGGTAATAAAAACCCTCACTTATTTCTTGCTTTAAAAACATGAAGCTTGCCAATGTCATAAGCTCTTATACAACAAAGTAACAAACAACTATTACAAATACTAAGACACTAATTAGAATTAGTTAGCTCTGGCTGCTCCACTTCCACAAGAGACAAAACTGAGGCACAGGGACTACATTATCTCCTAAACCTAAACATGAAGTCACCAAGTTAGAAATCTCCTAAAATCTTGTACTAAACCTAAAAGTCCCTTGTCCAGTACTATTTAGAGTATTTTGGACAATGAGATAAACAGAAAGCATGCTATTATCTTAGCCATGCAAAATGTACCAGAATCAAAAGTAAACTTGGGAAACTCAGTTCGGATTAATTAGGAAGCAGCGAAAAGGGTTTTTCAAGGCTGCTTACTGGGTTCCAGAACTGTACACCAGCATACAAGTACTGGCTTTTTTCTAAATAGGATTTAGTATCAGGACTTGAAAGCATTGGAAGTAAACTTTAATCCCATCCAAATGAAACAGTTATCACCTTACACCTATTTTCATGATAACACATAGTAAATCTGCCACTTCAAACAGGGAATCAGTTACAAAAAAACAGACAAAAAGTCTGTATATCTAACAGCAGTCAAGAACTGTCAGCAAAATATTTTCTTCTGTATGAGGCAGAAAAGGTAATTTTAAGAACCTAAAACACTTAGCATATCATAATTTTAAAAAAGTATTTAAGAACTGTTGGCTATAACAAGCAGCAAAGGCTAATTTACCATTAAAGGTGCACAGCATGAAAGGAGGAAATAAGTTAATGAGCTCCCCACCGTTCCTAGGAACATATCCATATTGTATAGCATTTGATGATGGCTCATTCAAATTATTACTCTATGATTTAGCCTGCTGCTGAACTTTTTCAGAGTGTCCATCAACTAAACTACATATGGTTCACCAGTTATAGGCACTTGCATGGAATCTTTCTAAAACAATCCCATAAAGGGTCAGAGAGTAGACCCAAAGACATCAATACCACAGAAAAGCAGCATTTTTTCTTCAGAGCAGGATATTATGATCATGATATGCAACATAAGTATATAATGAATTTTACAGCAATGACCCAGCAGACAAAGAACCAGAATAAGGAAATATCGCAGCTGCCATAATTTCTATTTATCTCTGCACTAGTCCCATATTCTCACTTACATCTCGGCTACTAGCTGATACAGGAAGATATATATTATATTATGGAAATAAGCTGTAAGGTTATCATCCATTAATGACTGTGAAGCAGTTGGATATAGACCAGTACATTGTGAAGAAAGAATATAGTCCTCAATTTGCAGTCATCTTAAATAAAAGCACTGTCAGGACACATAAGACTGACTAGAAAATTCTTCAGTCTTCAGGACCTCCTTGTTTATGCAATATAGAACGCAAAGTGTATCTGTTTGGGATTTTTTTTCCCCAGACTTTTACTGTTAACATGAAGTTTAACATGAAAGTTTGCCACGACAAACTAAAAGGGTGAAACTTGAGTAAAGGATACCCATTTCATGTAGTCTTAACAGGCTGCTGCCCCAAATGAAGCTCTTCTGTAGAATGGGGATGCATACACAGGCATTAATGTCACCATTTAGAAACAGAAGATGCCAAGTAGTCTTTTGGAGACATACAGGGGCAAGAGCTGGATATTAAAGAAAAAATGAGCAAACCAATTAACTAATTTTCAAAGCCAATAGAAATTTGTTACTATTGTAAAATATCAAATAAATTACAAGAAAGATACATTCTTAACAGTAAGTTTCTGTTGGGATTTGACCCTCTTCTGTGGTTATTTACTTACAGTGGCATCAATCTGTTCCAGGATCTTCATGAACTGCTCTGCAGTTCCTTTTATCCTCTTGTCCAGCTGTTTTAGCGCTTCGGCTTGAAGATCCTTTGCTAAAAATCCCTGAGGAGGAAAAGGAGGGAAGGAAAGACAAAATTATACCATTCCCAGCAGAATACTCATCTTAGAAAATCTGTCAGTCATCCACAGCAGAAAACATCTTCTACTATTTCTGTAGTTTCAAGTATGATAGTGAGTTCAATCTCAATCTGTATTCCATCAATCCTTGAAAGGCTAAATGTAAGATTTGCAAGGCTTACTTAAAAGATTAAACAAGTAACAGACACTCTCCTTCGGACTTTGAGAGAACTCTTTCTGGTTTTCTACACCTAAAGTATATTATTTATTCAATATGCAACAATATTTACTTTTTTCCAAACAGCGCCATATCGCCATTTTGCAAGTTCATAAATAGCATTTTAAATTCAGTAAGAATTTTACAGGGTCCTTGAACAGTTATGAGAGGCAGCCTATTACCGTCTACAGAAAAACTTTAGACAGTATTTTTTAAAATATATATATACCTACAACATTGTTTTGCAAAGATATAAAGTGATACAAAACTGGCATACCTTCTGGATACTTGTGAACTCTTTATTAACTTCCTCTAACTTATTAGCTATTTGCTCCACTGACTTCTCCAAATCTTTTAACTTCTTTAATTCAGCCTCTTCTTCTGGACTATTCTGCGTATTCAAAAGTACAACATTCACAACTATGGAACAAGTAGAGTCACTATGCAGCTAAAAAGCAGCAACTACGGTGATACAGACATAAAGGCTTTTGCAGATTTAAAATATATACTACACTGTGCTTATTCTTTCCATATTTATACTTATCAAATAAGCGTCTTCCAAAGCTTAATTACAAACACAGTCAAAGTGGCAATGTATATATATACAAACACATTAAATGAGAAGAATTTGACGGGAAAAAGGAAAAGTGCAAACAACTTTTTTTTGTTAGCTTAGCATCTTTAAAGTAGAGGTAACATTTATATCACAAGATACTACCTTGTCCTCTACTTGGCAACGCCAGCCACAACTCATTTCACTAAAAAAAGCCCAGCAGACCCAGTAGCTACAGCTTTTTTTTTTTTAAACCAGAGATATAAGATGGGCAAATAAGGTCATCAGTGCACAGAAGGTTCATGAGCAATGACAAGCAACAGATAAGGCAGACGTCAGTCAATAATGTAGTTTCAGAAATGCACAAACTGCAGAGTTATTTGCAGTACAATGTGAGATTGAACTCAACTTTGTGTCTAGCTATACATGATGAGGTTTATGCTGTAACCTGTTGCTGTGTTCAGCAGTTGAATCACTGACAGAAATCACAATAATTCAAGGAATAAAAAAAAGGTCCAAAGGCAACACTTACCCTTTTCCCAATCAACATGACTTTGCAACCATTTTTAACACCAAGTGCTGACAACGGCTGTTCCATTTCTTTCAGAGACTTCCCTAAATGGAAGAAGGGTGGGGGGGAGGGTGGGAAATCAATTAAAATATGGTTAGTAGCATAAGAATGTCTTTTTGAAGATATTCAAAACCTGGATACCTGGAAGTGACCAAGATGAAAGGTATCATCTATAAGAAACATTGACAGATAAGTTACCTTTGTATATCAGTTTCTGAAAAGGAACTGGAACTCCAGTGACTTGTTCTATAAGTACAGCCATGTCTTGTAGTGTAGGTTCACCATCTTCTTGTTGAGAAGCAACCTGAATACTGTGTTTTTCATTACCTAACAAAAAACAGAGTAACAGTAATACTTATCGCTACCTAGAAAATATTACAGGGAACACGTGTCTAATATTTATTTCCATTAATGCAGAAAGTTCTCAAATCACCGATTCTTATGTACAATCATAGTTTTCAATAAAGGATTCTATTCCATTGCCTTCCTCTTGCAGTGACTTAACTCAGCCGAAAATTTTGTTTTATATTCTAATAACCTGAAGAGTTGGATCAGGCATATTCTACTGGCATAATACTCCTGCTAAATATTATTCTCCACCTCTTTTGAAGAGTGCAGATGGTGGCCAGGCATCCCACAAACTTAAGCATGAAAGCCCACACCTCCATGATGTATTCCATTTCCTACTTGTAGGAAGTTTTAATGGCATGAGTCTTGTGGAATCTGAGACAATTTATCACTTCCTTTGCTCCCTACTCCTCATGCATGAGGAGTAAGCGATCAATGTCTACCCTGTCTCCGCCTCACCAGCCACCTGGGAGAATTCTCACAGTCCAAAAATTATTTCTCCCCATAATACTGCTGATATGCAGCCTTAACCACTTTGAGAAGTCTCAGCCTATATGTCACCTTCCACTTATGCTGCATCCCATTCAGACTCTAAGATTACTTGCATGCAAGCAGCAGGAAGTTCTTTGAAGAAAAGGAGTATGTCTATCAACCTCTGCTTTGCAATAGACCCTTTCTATAAACCTCTGCTCCCACACACTTAAGGTCTGTCAATCTGAAAGCACCCACAGTTTTCAGCCACCATTGGCTGCAAGAGAAACTGAGAGGCATTATTTAATTTGGAGGAATAAAGAACTGCTTAACAAATACCAAGAAAGAAAACTATTCTCATGTCACTAATTTGAAATGCACATATCTTTTACAAAGAGTGATAGAAACATTGACTTTAAAATGTTCTAGCCTCCCAGAGTCACATGACACTGAGGCTTCCAAACTGGTTTTAAGCTCAAAATCACATTATACAAACTCTCCCCCAAGCATTTGCCATAAACAGACTTTCTTTCCAATTTGTTTTGGAAAAAGAAACCCAAACAAAAAAAGTAGGTCCTAACCTCAATATATTTCAAAAGGTTGTTTTAATACATACAGCTGCTTTGTGTAAGGGCTGTGCCTGTCAGCAGTTCAGAGAAAAAAACAAACAAACAGCAAATGGGGAAGAGAACAGCTGAAGTTTGCCTAGCAATAGAAACAGTTTAAATAGCAAATTATGAGTACCACTTTGGGCAGAGTGTAACAAAAATTTTACTGTAAATTCCCCTGAAAAACACCTCATGGATTAGAACTGGTATAATAGCTTATCAGTTTGCTTCAGTAAATGACAATACTGATTTAAAATAGCCACCAGTGCAAAATTCCAACATCGTTTTAAAAAAAGCCTAAATAGACTTAAAAAACAGGTCAATTCAATTTCTTGCAGATTGTCAAGTGATACATGTGGGTCTACTACCATTCTCTTTCTTAACCCTTATTTCCGTCTTTCCCCACTTTCACTCATGCATGCAAAACTTTAATATAAACATTTGTGCTACATAGTAAACCAGCACCTGACAGCAACAGGTATAAAACAGAAAGCTCAAGTCCAAGATGAAGGATGCCTTCTATTTCTTATTTATTAATGACAAAATAATTACCAGATAATGACAAAGTAATTACCAGATAAGAAAACAACTGGAAAGGTAAAAACATTCTCAGTTAAGAAGGCTGTTGGCAAACAGCAAGACGTTGGAATTATAAATACAATCCTATTGTTAATTTGTCATCTCTGCCAATGAAACCCCCTCAGATCAAATGGGGTTCTCTGAAGGCATCAATGAGCACAAGAATCATGAAGATTCAAACAGATTATTCCACAAAGTTCCTCACCAAAGACTTTTAGATAAAACTGCCAGGTAATAAAGGAAACATTTTCACAAAATAATGTATCAAATACAACAGTAACAGGTTGAAAACAGGAATGACCAAGCAGAAATAAACAATAAGTTGTACAGACGGAAAGAATGTCATCAACATAGTCCAAAAGAAACAGGAGCAAAATTTCTTTTCCAACAGTTAAAAAATAACCCATAAGAAATTCACAAGTTTTGTTAACAAAAATCAGCTGATTAATTCCTCACTGTTTTAATACCTTACTATCCTTCTCATTGCTCCTACTGCCTCACCTAGATCCACTTCATTAAAATGTAACCATGGTATTTCCCATCTTAAAGAACTATGGAGTCCAGGCTATTCTTATCTCTTTGCACTAATTTTTCCTATTTATTTGCAGTCTTAACCCCATCTTCCCTCCCGTCGTCTTCTCCCTCCTATTTCTCTTCCCAAGGAAAAAAAGTTCAGTCATGTCAGCAAGACCTTTGACTAACCCATTTTATTAGGTCAGCACCCAACTGTCATACTGAAGAAACCACCAGTTTCTGTTGCAATCTTGCATCTCACTAACTGCAAATGTTCCTGCTTATTCAACAAACAAGATGAAAGCACATCAGACAGCATCTGTTTTTAACATACAGTGCTGACTTCAGCGATTTCTTTCAGCTAAATGAAGACTGCTGCCAGAAAAGCAGCCTCTGGTCTGCACTCTCTGGCAAGGACTGCCTTGTCACCGGTTCCCACCATCATCCATCCTTACAGTAGATCTAACCCTGCATGACAAGTTTGATCATCTTGCTGATATGGAAAAAGCTGTTTTTTTCAGCTTAAGTGATCCAGCTTGAGGGAGACAGTGGGAAGATGTAGCCACTCGAGGAGTGAAACCTCAGGGTAGCAGCTGGGACGGCGAGAGGCCAAGCGGAGGGGGAACCGTGCCCCCCAGAGGCCGAGGAAGGCCCAGCGAG